TTGTCACCAAGTAAGATAATACAGTCTGACTCTTTTTGCGCTGCTTGCTCATGATCCCGGCCAATTACTTGAGTTTTAAATTCTTTGTGAAGGTAAGAGTCTGCTTCCAATGTGGAGAATGTACTGTCCCAAGCTTCGGGGGTTTGTACAGCTGTTTTCAGAGATACTTCTAGGGACCTGAAAATTTTCAGTTCTTCCAAGGTGCTATGATAAGGGGTGAGGTGTTTCCTCTCCACCTCTACAACAAGCTCCACCACGCCAGCACTCCTCCTCGCCCCAGGACCGCCCCTCAGAACTGTGACCCAGATCCAAGCACGGGCAAAGCAAGAGATTGCTGCCTCAGCACTCGCAAAGAGATCCTTGCAATCCCCCTCTGATCAGCCACTTGATTCCCCCTTAGTCTGTGGGCCAGAAGCTCAGGAGGCAGCCGTGGCCCCGGGGGCAGCTGAGATCTAGCTTCTTCTCTCACTGCAGTCACAGACTTTTCCCACTGACCTTCTAAGTTGTCTTTGATGTTCGTGGGTTGAAAAGTCTGGAAACCGCCACAGCTGCCCACGATTCAGTCCTCTGAGGCCTGCTCCAGGTTCGCTGTGGCCTGCGTGCCCATGCCAAATTGCACTCCTCTCCCAGCCCACGCAATATACCTTTCTAATCAGCCATCCAGGTTGTCTTGGGCTGGAAATTTGTTTTACTGTTTTTTTGTGGGTTCTGCTGCTTTAGAATTTGTTTAGAGCCATTTTTTATAGGTATTTGGAGGGGTTTGAGGGAGAGCTCCAGCAAGTCACTGCTTTCCCTCCGCCATCTTGGCTCTGCCCCCACCCCCCGGGTTAATCTGATTTTTAAAAAGAAAGAAAAAAACTCAAATTACCAGTATCAAAAATGAAAAATGTAAATGTACCACAAATGAAGATGAAATTTTAAAAAATTAGTAGGAGCTATTTTGCCCAATTACATGCCAATAAAATTGACAATCTAAGTAAAATAGATGAATATTTACAAAAATATAAATTGTCCATGCTAATAGAAGAGGAAATAAGACACTTAAATAACCCTATCTTGGAAAAAGAAATTGAACAAGCCATAAATGAGCTCTCTAAGAAAAAATCCCCAGGACCAGATGGATTGACAAGTGAATTCTACCAAACATTTAAAAAACAATTAATTCCAACGTGACATAAACTATTTGAAAAAATAATAAAGAAGTCTACCAAATTCCTTCTATGACACAAATATGGTCTTGATACCTAAATCAGGGAGAACAAAAAACAGTGAAATAAAACTACAGACAAATTTCCTTAATGAATATTGAAACAAAATTTTAAATAAGATACTAGCAAGGAGATTACAGCAATATATCACAAGGACCATATACTATGATCAGGTGGGATTTATGCCAGCAATGCAGGATTGGTTCAACATTAGGAAAACTATCAGCATAACTAACCATATCAACAACAAAAACAACAAAAATCAAATGATTACATCAACAGATGCAGAGAAAGCTTTTGACAGAAAACAGCTCCCATTTCATTTTATATTACAAACACCAGAAAGCATAGGAACAGATGAAGCTTTTCTTAAAAAGATAAACAGTATCTATCTAAAACCAAGATCAAGCATTATCTGTAATAGAGATAAACCAGAAGTTTTCCCAGTAAGGTCAGGAATGGAGTAAGGATGTCCATTATCACCACTACTATTCAATACTAGACTAGAAATGCTAGTGACAGCAATCAGAGAAGAAAAATCAACAGAAAGAATAAGAATAGGCAATGAGGAAACAAAATGATTACTCTCTGCAGATGATATGATGGTATATTTAGAGAACCCTAGAAAATCAAAGAAAAAACTAGCTGAAACAATGAACAACATTAGCAAAGTTGCAGAATATAAAATAAACCTGTAAATATCAGTATTTCCAAATCTGACCAACAAAGCCCAGTGGCAAGAGACAGAAAGAGAAATTCCACTTAAAATAACTGCAGACAATATAAAATATGTGGAAGTCTACCTGCCGAGACAAACCCAGAAACTGCATGAACAATTTATAAAACACTTTTCAGACAAATAAAAACAGACTAAACACTGGAGAACTGGAGAAATGTTCATTGCTCAAGGGCAGACCAAGCCAATATAATAAAAATGACAATTCTCCCTAAATTACTTATTCAGTGCCAGATCAATCAAACTAATAGTTATTTCATAGAAGTAGAAAAAATAACAACAAAACTCATGTAGGAAAAACAAAAGGTTAAGAATATCAAGGGGCAGCTAGGTGGCGTAGTGGAGAGAATACCAGCCCTGAAGTCAGGAGGACCTGAGTTCAAATCCGGCCTCAGACCAAACACTTGACACTTGTGACCCTGGGCAAGTCACTTAATTCCAATTGCCTTCAAAAAAAAAAAAAAAAAGAACATCAAGAGAATCAATGAAAAAAAAAAATGCTAAGGAAGGCAGCCTAGCAGGACCAGATCTCAAGCTATATCACAAAGTGGTCATCACCAAAACAGTCTGGTCCTGGCTAAGAAACAGAGTGGTGGATCGGTGGAACAGATTAGGTATACAATAGTAAATGATATTATAATCTAGTGTTTGATGAACCCAAAGATTCAAGATTTGGAGGCAAGAACTCACAGTCTGCCCAAAACTGCTGGGAAAACGGAAAAACAGTCTGGCAGAAACTAGGTAGAGACCAACATCTCACACTGAGAGCAGGATGATGGCATGCCAGGTGAGGAACAGAGAGAAGGCACTTTGATTAGACCGCTGAGTGCAGAAAGAGAAGTAATAAGCTGAAAAGATGGGCTGGACTCTAGAGAATAATCTGGAACTCTGCCCAAAGGGCTATCCAACTGCTCCTACTCTTTGACCCAGGAATCCCACTCCTAAGGGGTCTATATCTCAGAGATAAAAAACCAAAAGGAAAAGGACCCACATGTACAAAACTACTTACGGCAGCTCTTACAGGGGTGGCTAAGAACTGGAAATTGAGGGGATGCCCATCAGCTGAGGAATGGCTGAACAAGTTGTGCTATATGCCTATGATGGAATGCTATTGTGCTGTAAGAAAGGACAAGCGGGATGCTCTCAGAAAAACCTGGAAAGACTTGTATGAACTGACATGAAGTGAAGTGATAGAGGCAGGAGAACGCTGTACACAGCAACGGGCATATTATAACGATGATCAACCATGGGAGGCTGAGCTACTCTGATCAAGACAATGAGTCAAGACAGTACTGATGCATCTGTAGATTGAAGCATATTTTTTTTACTTAAATTTCTCGGGTTTTTTTTTTTTTGCAACATGGCTTATATGAGAATATGTTTAGTATGATTTCACATGTAAAACTAGTATCATATTAACTGACTTCTCAATGGGTGGGAGAGGGTCTGGAGGCAAGGAGAGAATTAGGAACTCAAAATTTTAAAAAATGTAAAATAAATAATATATAATTGTTTTTAAAATTAATTAATTTTAAGAAATAAAGAACGCAGAGTCGTGCTTTGCAGAATAAAAATCATGTGGAATTAGAATAGGAAGCATTACCCTAGCCAGCTGGAGAACTCTGTTTACATAACCATCATTCATCTACATTGCCATCTTCATTCTGAAATGCTGACCTGCACAGAACAGCCTCTTCTCTTCGGCTTGTTCCCATTTTCCTTTCCATTCCATCATATCTGATTTAAGACCAATTCAGAATTGGTCAAGGACAAATAAATATGGGATCACCATTCGGTGGCACTATCTCCCACTGTATTTAACTTACAAGAATGAGAATTACGTAAATCATGCAGGCGCTACAGGCCCCAACGGGGAGGTATGACCAGGCCTCGGCCCCACCCGGTGCCCGGTGCCCTGCATGCCATGAGCTTCTCAATCGATCTCCTGGGTGGGACCCTTGAAGCGTCCCCACCTGCAGTCCAGTCACTCTCATGCAGGCAGAGCTACTGGGAGGCATGGCCTGAGCTGGTCTCCCTGAAGAAGGAAGCATTTTGGGGCCATGTAAGCACCTGTGTGATATCCCTTTGAGAGCACAGACCGCCCTAATCCTCTGTCCTGACCTGTTCTGTTTTCTTCTATTCAAGTGGAAGTCCTGGGTCCTGACTCTCTCCTGGTCAAAAGCTTAGCTGGATAGAATTGAAAATAAAATGTACATCAATGACTTCCATCACAATCACATGAGATTCAACTGCTCTCTGACACAGACACCTGCTTTTAGGAGGGATTCTTAACCTGGGTCCATAAGTTCCTTTTTAAAAAATATTTTAATAACATTTTAAATATAATTGGTTCCCTTTGTAGTTCTATATATTGTTTTTATTTAATGCATTAAAAAACATTCCTCGGAGAACGACTGGAGGGACATCCTAAGGCTTGGCCGGCCTGCCAAAGGGGTCCAGGACACAAAAAAGGTCAAGAATCCCTGTTTCAAAGAAACACTAACCCCCTCTTTCAGTTGTAGGTACAGCTTAAAGATACTGTACTGTAGTCTGTAGGCAAAGGAAGGGATATTCAAAGGTAATTTTGACTACACACGATTTTCTCCTTATCTATTGACTTCAGAATCTAGCCCCTGTATAAGATGTGACTCCACTATAACAAAAAAAAAACAAAACCCACAAATATGTGAGAAAATAATTTACCTTTGTTAATGTTTCCAAAATGAGAAAAACAAAGTATATTGAGTTATAGTGGCATCTAGGTAATACAAGGAATATAGTGCTAGTTCTGGAGTCAGGAAGACCTGAAGTCAAATCCAGCCTCAGACATTTACTACCTATGTGACCCTGAGCAAGTCATTTCAACTCTGTTTGCCTCAGTTTCCTCAACTGTAAACTGGGGATAATAGGAATACCTACTCCAAAGGACTGCTGTTAGGATCAAATGAGACAATACTTGTAAGTGCTGGGTACAGTGTCTAGCACACAGTAGGTGTGATACAAATGCTTCTTCCCTCCCCCTCCCCCCTTAAATTCAAAGTACAATGTTTTCCTACCTGTTGAACGCATGAATAACTTATGGTGATCACTCTCATAACCCCGGGATGTGTGGAGAGCAACCCAGTCTGGATTGATAAACTCTGCCCTATAAAAGACAACACAGAGGGGCTTAGGCCAAGATGTACGCTGAACTTTTCTCCTCTATCACTCTTCACACTAAGTGCATCTGAGCTTATGCTGAGAAGAAGCCACTTTTGCCACAAGGCCACATGCTCACTGAAGATATTTTGCTTTGACTTAAGTTCTTCAAACGGTAACAACTGTGAAACCAACTGGGCTTTAAAGTCGGGTGGCCTATGGGCCTGAAAAGCAGGGCCTGACTGGGCTGCCATCACACCCACTTACTGAGCTCCCACAAGGTGTATAGATGGGGGGTTCATCAAAGACCATATTTTAAGACTTAACAGCCACCCTGAGAGGCACTGCAGAGCAAGGGCTGGATCTGGAGTCAGGAGGCCTCAATGCCACAGACATTTCTTGGCTGGAGTGTATGGGGGGTGGGGAAGGTTGCGGAAGATGAGTCTGGAAAGATGCCCAAGGGTCAGACTCAAGGACTGTAAGTTGCAAAAACTGCGACAGTGTGTGCCTTTGGGTATGACTACTCTGGCACCTGGGTGCGTGCTGGGGAGGCTACCACAAGAGTCCAGGTGACAGCGAATGAGGGTCTGGCTTAGACTTGTGGCCAAGTGAACGGAGAAAAGGGGAAAAGATGTAAGATAGGCGGTGAACTCCTAGAATTACTTCCTCATTATCACCCCTCTGCATAGCACAGCAAGTCAAAATATACTAATTTTTTCAAAAGTAGGAAACTGTCAAAACACAAAGACTGACACCTGTCTGTGCATGGACTTCACTTTTCCCAATATACTGAACACTACTACATTCTAAAACAAATCTGCCTTGAAACCCAAAATTTGAAGTCTTTGATGAACTCCATTTCAAATTGTAAACTAGGGAAGTCATTACAATCCCACTTCTAAGTGAGAGAGCATGATGCTACAGGAACTCTGGTTTCCATCAAAACATATTAGATTGTTGTCTGAATATGTATTTTTCTGTTACTCTGAAATCCACAAAGCAAACTTTCCTAGCCGACAAATGATGCAAACTATTTAATATTATAAGTAGTCCAGAAACCATTATGAATGAAAACCAACATTTTTGCTTTGTGGAAAAAGCTAGATTATTAGCTTATATTTATTCAGAGCACACGTGCCAAAGAAGCCAAAAGTCCTGCCAACAATCTGCTCTTGTTAAATAGGTATAATACTCTACGAACGATAAGAAAATAACCACCCAAATCTGATCGCCCTGACCTTCAATCCTCCAATACACATGGAACAATGGGAAGCATAGCCACTGTATAAAATGTGACTTAGTCATGCTTCTCTCCCAAAACTGTAAGTGAGGCACCCCAATGTTCTCCCTCTCTACAACAAAATGGTGGTACAAAAGGCTTCTTAGCATCATTGTGAGAAGCCTATGGCAGCTGGGGGGCACCATGGTGCCCAGAGCAGTGGACCTGGAGTCAGGAAGACCTGAGATCAAATCTGACCTCAGACATTTACCAGCTGGGTGACCCCGGGCAAGTCACGTAACTGCTGTCTGCCTCAGTTTCCTCATCTATAAAATGTGTATAATAGCACCTACATCCCTGGACAGCTGTGAAGATCATATGATAAAATATTTGAAAAGGGCTTTGCAAACCTTAAACTCTATATAAATGCTAGCTATTGTGAGTATCATGTTCAGGGTGAATAACTTACACATAGGCACATAAAAGACTGTGGTAGGCTGTAAGAGGTGGATAGTCTAGACCCCAGTACTGTAAATTGTTATCACTGCTATTGAAGTACCTGAAAAATAAGAAAACATATTTATTAACCAATGTTTGTGAAAAGAAATCTACAAAGAATTTAGTATCTCATCTCATTTTATTTCATTTCAAATAAAGCAAACTGCTAAATTATGCTACACAACACAAAATGAGTTTGTCGCTAAGCATTTGAGTCTACCCATATCTATTTTTTCCCCAAAGCTGTATAAAATCCATCTTAAACACACGCTAGCAACGGGCCTTCGTTACAGACCAGGTACGGGCTTGGGGGAAACGTGGGCAGCCAGAGAGAACTCCCAGAGCTGAGACATGAAAGGTCTCATTGGTCAAACAGCCTGGAGGCTGGTGTCCCAGGGTCAAAGAGTACATGGTGGGGAGTGAGGTGGGAGAAGACTGGAGCAGTAGAAGGAGGCAGGTGATGAAGGACTTTGAATGCCAGAGTGAGGATTTGTGACTTGATCCCTGAAGCAATAGGGAGCCACCACAGTTTACTGAATAGGGGGTGACACGATCAGACCTGAGCATTAGGAAAAGCACTTGGGTGGCTGATACAGGATGGACTGGAATTGGGAGACTGGAGACAAGCAGACTCCCCAGCAGCTACTGCCACAGTCCAGGTGTGAGGTGATGCAGGTCTGCACCAGGGTGGGGGCTGTGTCAGAGGAGAGAAGGGGGCATACTGGGGAGGTGCTGCAGAGGTGAGATCGACATGCTTTTTATCAATAGCTTGGATGTGGGGGTGAGAGAGACTGAGAAGCCTGGGATGACTCCGAGGTTGGGAGCCTGAGGAACTGGGAGGAGGCGGTGCCCTCCGCAGTAATACCTACTGGGTGACGCGATGGCCAGAGTCAGAAGACCTGCGTTTAAGTCTGGACTTAGATACTGAGGCTGTGTGTCCCTGAGCGCTCTATGCCTCAGTTTCCTCATCTGTAAAAATGGGGATAATAATAGTACCTGTCTCTCATGAGGATCACATGAGATATTTGAAAAGCACTTTGCAAACCCCAAAGCACTATACAAGTGCTATCATTATCATTATTATTATTAACTTCATCTATCATTCTCCGTTATATTGCTCTATTGATCTGATTAGATTATAAACTTCCGCAAGGGAAAAAAAATCTATTTATTTTAAACTTTATACTTCAGCAGAGCCTAGCCCAATACACACAATAGAGCCTTTAGAAATATTTGTGGATAATAAATAGATACCTTGTTTTTAAAGAGTTCTGCAGATGAGGAAACTGAGGTCCAGAGAGAGGTAAGTCACACATACAGTATATGCTTGGGGCAGGATATGAATCCAGAGCCTGCACTCTATCCATTGTACCATCCTGCCTATGCAAGAAAACTTTGTATACATTTGGTTGCAAGGGGAAAAGCATCAGTGAAACTAGATAGCTTTAGTACACCGTAAGTACGTTCTACCACAAAAAGAAAAAAATTAAAGCTAGTTTAGTGGACTAGAAAGAGTTTTCTCTTTTGTTCCCTAACAAATGTATCATCACCACTGAATAAACATTATGGCTCTTACTATTTTAAATGAAGCATCCGCAAAATTTGATGTTTACAAAAGTAAGACACATTTTAGACACATCCACAGCACCAACGATCTCCTCATAAAACACAATACAAAAAATAAAGGGGAAAGGAATCTAAGGATAATTTTGAGCATTTAAACTAAAGCCATCTCCACTAGATAAAAGAAAGACTTTATTTCAAGAAAATAAAGACATCAGACCCTTTGACTATGACTCTGAAACAAACTGACGAGTCTTTCCTAATTGCCAGGAGGCATGTTCTTGGCTTTTCCAGGCCATCCACTCAAATGCAGAAAATGTGACTTTCATTACAATAAATGATATTTCTTGAATTCCTCATGAGCTGCCTGAAGTATCTTATGAAGTGATAATAAATCACATTTCTTTAAGCTGCATCCCTGTTCCTGAGTTCACCATTCAAAACTGTTCATGCTGATGCTATTTACTCTTTTAAATGGACTTCAATGTTCTGCAAATCCCTAGTAAGATTTCCTCTTACTCTATTACAATCACTTTAGTTGCTAATTATCAAGTGATAAGAATGGCCACAGTTTAAACAGCAACAGAGGCCATAGCTCAGGCAAACCTCCTTTGGGCTCCTGCCCTTGAAGCAGCAGGGGATGGCGGGATGAAGAATGGATGCTGAAAAGCTAAGTGCTGTCTACGGCCAAGCCCTGGGAGGAGCTCTAGGAAGACAAAGAGAAGGCAAGACTGTCCCTGGCCTCAGGAAGCTCACTCTCTACCCCAGGAGGATTCAGCTGCCAGGAAGATGGAAAGACCTACGACGTGGGAAAGCCAAAGCTGAGGCGTCTTCTGCAATGTCATTTCCACTGAGAAAATCCCAGCACTGCTGAACCACTGACTGGTGCCAAGGACTTTGGGGGGCTTCAGCAGCAATGGCTGCTGGGGAGCTGGGTTGGCAGCATGGGAATGATGGCATCTTTAGAGGCACGTGGGGGACCGGGCCAAGCTAAGACCAGCAGCCGGAGAGGGTGCCGTCTTCCTGTGGTGCTCTGGCTTCCCTGCCCACCCCTGGCAGCCGGCCATGGTGAGGATGTCATTCCCCTTTCTCCCTTGATGATGACTGAAGGGGCTGCCAACAGGGCTTGTGATCTGGGGGTGCCATCCTATCTGGGATCACTGGGTGTTGTGACCTGAACTGTCTCTACCTGGGTGATGAAAGCGATGGCGGCAGTCTGTCCTGCCCGGCACATGCCACCTTCTGTGTCTCCTGAGCGCTTGGCTGCTGGCCTGCCCCATCTGTGGTAACTGGTCAGCAACGGGTACTGGTGGTAACAGGAAGGGCCTGCAGCCCAGAATCAGGGCTGGGAAGGCCAGCTGAGGAGCAGGGCCACTGCTCTAAAGGACCATTCTGGGCTCCTGGCTTACCTGTCCGTTGGTGGCCATTAGGCTGAGGGCAGAGCCTGGAAACAACAACAATGGGTGGAAGCTACCAGCAGGACAAATTCTTAACGAGGCAGCACAAACAGGGGCCGCTCTGAGAGGTCGTGGGTCTCCTTCATGGAGCAAAGGCCGGACTGGCCACGTGGGCTACAAGCGTGAGCTGAACCTCTCTAAAATGCCGCAGCTCCATGGAGGATCTCACTGATGAGCCGCACATCGGAGGCCCAGAGGAGGAGATAAGTAAACACCACGGGCCGCAATCAGTACCACTGGGGGGCCTTTGTGAGACGCACCACAAGACTGCAGCTGTGCCGCCCTCCCTCATGGGTCGGCTGTGAGGATCAAGCACTGACCCGATCTCCAGGGAGGAAGGAAGGCCAGCTCTTCCTCATCTCACACTAAGTTTTAACCAAAACTCGCGGTTTTCACCTACTCCAACAGAAAACACTGGCCCAGACAAAAGCCTGCTAACGTGGTTTGGGGCTGCTCAGAGAGCTTTTGCTCCGCCCACCTGGCAGATGAAAGTAACTTAGAAAATAATGCCCTGAACGATGCAGACTACACAAAGACCTGGAAAGGGCCTCAAAGTTCAAAAGCCGGCGTCTGCCAAGACTAGAAATGACTCTGAGCCATTCATCTGCCACGACCACCTCTCACCAACTGCCGAGACCAAATCGTGCAGGATGATGTTCCTAAAGAAAACACTAATTGGATAAACCCATTCCCAAGTACATATGAAGGGCCTACTATGTGCCACACACAGTGCTAGACATGAGAGCTAAAATGGGCGATTCACACAGGGTCAGGCATGGAATTCGGGTCTATGGGGGAAACAACACAAGAACACAAAATCTTTCGGGCCTTTGAGGACTAATCCAACTCTCATTTTATAGACAAGAAGCCTGAGAGTCTGTGACATGAAGTGACTTGCCCAAGGTCACACAGGCAGGGACAGAGCCAGGATCTGAAGTGCCCACTGAAGGGGGGAGGGGTCACCCTCCACACCCTTCCTTTGACAGCTGAGATAAGCAAAGCCTGGCAAGGGGCAGGATTCGGACTCTGGTTCCCTGGCTCTCTGCCCCTACCACATCAAAGTGCATACCCAATGCTCTGTAAAATCTGGAAGGAGCATGGAATAAGCCTGGCCTCTTCTTCTTCTCCTTTGAGCTACGGCCCAAGAGAGAGGGGCTGGGCGCTGAGAAGAGAAAGACGGATATAACACAGCCCCTGGTCTCAAGAAGCCGAGGGTCTAACAGAGAAGAGAGATGCCGTTAGCTGGGACACTCGGGGACAAAGAAGAGGTTTAGGCAAAGTGCTAGGAGGAAGCTGAGGAACTCGCAGGGAAAAGCACCAGGGACAAGCAAAATGGCAGACGAGCTCAGCTGAGAAGAGAAGGCCTTCAATGGGCAGAAGCTGAGGGTGGTGGGACCATTCCAGTCATGGGGATGGCAGGACAGGGGCAGCTCTGGGAGAGAGATGGGAAGGAGAAGGATAAAAACAGGAAACAGAAAGCAGTCCAGTTTGGAAGAGGAGAAGTGGCTGGCTCATGGAATCATCCGCCGGGAACTGGAAAAGCTCAAGAAGGTCATCCAGTCCAACCCCTCATTTTACAGAGGAAGAAATCGAGGCCAGCTATATCCCACTGGGAAGTAGCAGTGCCAGAATTCAAACTCAGGTTCCGTGACTCCAAGGGGCTATGAGGTGCCTCTACTGGACCATAACATCGTATAGTTCTGACTCTTCCTTGGCCGTCCTGTTCCTAAACCATCCTTGTCCTCGGCATCACCCCTCGGTCATTCCTCATGCCATTATCACTCCTCCTCCCTGGCGAGTCTCCACCACTCAGTTACTGGTTCAACTCTGCTCCATCCCAGGCTCCTGCACCCCACGCTTCAGCCTGGTATTCCTCCCGTCATCCAACCCCTCTGGCCCCACTCAGCAGCTGAAGCAAGTGGGAGGAAGTCCCATAGCCATGCTACATGGGTCTCCTCTCCTCTCCACTTGGGCCTCACTGAGTCAGAGCAGGCCCTTTCCTCCTCCCTAACAGATCTGCTCTCCCACTCGCTCGGCACAGCAGCTGTGTCCCAAACCTTCTCTTCTCTCCTCACGTCTCCCCCAGCACCCTCCCCCCACCTGCTCGGCTGAGGACCTCGCCTCAGAACCCCTCGACCGCATCAGCCGCTATTTCCTCCCTGCCCCTGCAGGCTCTGATGAAGAGGTGGCCCTCATCCTAGCCAAGCCAATCCCTCTTCATGTGCCCTTGATTCCAGCCCCGCCCAGCTTCTAGGGCAGACGGTCCTATCAATCACCCCCATTGGGCTCTAATCTTCAGTCTCTTCTTTTGAGCAGGCCCTTCCTGTCAGTTCAAACACGCTCCAGTCTTCCCCGTCTTTGGGATGCACTTCACTCATGAGAAGTCCCCATGCCAGGGAACACAAACGGAATAACAGTATGGAAAGCAGGATGAAGGCGGCATCATTCACCATTCAGGTGAATGGAAGACAGTTTTTTCCAAAGGTGCAGATATTTTTCATTTATTTGATTATTGTTTCACATTTTAAAAATGCTTACAAGCTTAGAGAACTATAAACAGCAGGATTAAGGTAAATTATCCATACCACTCCTGGACCGGTAAATTCAAAGTAATTTCTTGCCAGTGTCTCTGGGCTTCGTAATCTCCAAACATGGGAGGTTTTCCAGCACCTGGAGAAAAAAGGGGAGAAAAGCAAGGAAATGGCATTGTAGCATGTCAGTAATTTCGTCTCATTTGCTTGGCCTTTTCTTTAATCAGGCATCCTAAGGAGCTTGCTTTTTAGGACTCCTCTCCCAAAGGAAGAAAGGAAGGAACAAGCATTTACTGAATTCCTACTATGCGCCAGGTGCTATGCTAAACACTTTGCAAATATTATTCCATTTGATCCCCACAGCAATCCTGTGGGGTACATACTGTTATCACCCCCATTTTACAGTTGAAGAAACTGAGGCAAACAGGGTCACACAACTAGTAAGTGTCTAAGACCAAATTTGAATTCAGGTCTTCCTGACTGCAGGTCCAGTGCTCTATCTAGTTCACCACCAGTGATGGGGCACACAGGCCACCATTTTATTAGACCTCATTCTCACCACATGATCCACCCATCATCTTTTTTACTCATACATTTCTTTGATGACATCTTTTATGAAGAGTTTATAAACTAGAATGCAAACTTTGAAAGTGGGTAACTGCCTACAGATATGTTAGGGCCCTCTACCATCCCTTCCCTCAAGACATACTTTTCTTCATTAAAAAACTAACAGATTTATTTCTTCTCATTTGCCTCTTTCTCCTAAAACTCAAGACTCCCAGGATTTCAGAGTTGGAAGCGTCCTCGGAGCTGTCCAACCCACCAACTTGCCCTGATGGTCACAGAGCCTTGGCTTGGGGGTCTCTAGTTGTAGGACGCAGGCCTCCTAAGGGAGCCCAGGCCATCTGGGGAGAGCTCTAACTGGTGACACATTGTTCTTGCCGTCAGTCCTAGATCTGTCTCTGTCACTGCCACCCACCATTGCAGTTCTTCCCTCTGGAACCAAACAGAACAAATCTGACGTGCAGATGCTCATCTTCACGACACCCTGAGGGTTATGACTTCATTTCTACAAAACTCATGATTAAATGAAAGGCTGAAGCAGCTATGCATGTTGCTTTTTCTGGATCTCAATAAAACATTCTCCACTTTCCTCAGCAGCTTCCTCTGACTTAGAAGGACATATAGGACCTTCTTATGCCAGCACTGATTACCACTTCAACCTCCTCTGATTTCTTTACTTTAATACCAGTAGGAAACACTGAGTAGAAACATTAGCTTTTGCCACCAAAGACAATCAATTCCAAGTGTGGTTTCCAAGCCTTCGGCCCACAGGGGCTTTTGTTTTTTTGAGTATTTTAGATGATCCACAGACTACCTGAGTGTCATCCTTCTGGAGCACCACAGACCAATCAATTGATCCCTATCTAGAGACCTCCAAATTGCCAAATCCAATGGCCTTTCCCCCTCCTCACTCTCCCTGACCTCTCTCTCTGCAGCCTCCACCACTGTTGCCCACTCTGTCTCTCTCAGTTTTCAGGATACTCTCTCTCTTGGCTCTCATCCCACTTCTCTGACCAGCCCTTTCCTGTCTCCTCTACTGTTCCTTCATCAAGATCCCCTGTAATAACTGTGGTTGTCCTTTCAGGTCTCTTCTCTTCTCCCTCTACGTAACTTCACTTGGTGATCTCATCGTTTCCCATCAAGTCAATGCTCATCGCCATGCTAATGATTCTCAAATCTATAGATCCAGCCCTAACTTCTCTGCTGACATCCAACCGCCTTTCAGACATTTGGAAATGGATGTCAGTAGAGATCTTAAACTCAACGTGTCCAAAACTGAAGTCATTCTCTGTCCCCTACACTTTCCCCCTCCCAAACTGCCTGTCCAGTCCCCCAGGCTTACAACCTAGGGGTTAGCCTCAGCTTCTCACTATCTCTCATCGTCCACACCTGTTACTGAGTCATGTCAGTTTTACCTTCAAAACATCTCCAACATTCGCTGAACACATTTATAATTCACATTGTCCCAGACATCAGAAAACAACTTCATGCTTAGCCCTCTCCTAATCTCCCTGAAACTAAAATAAGCCAGTTGCTCTATATGGTAATACAAAATAGGGAGAGAAACGTGAACCCCCAAGGCTGAATGAAATAGCCATGTCAGGACAGTCCGGACGCTACCAGAGATCTGCTGTCACATCACGCCACTGACTCACGTGGCCTCACAGCCACTATGTCCATACAAACTGGTGTCTAGCCATGCAGTCACCCAGCCTGTGAGGTGACTTCACAATTATCAATAACAGACTGCATCTTACTAGATTTGGTTTATCAGTTGATCCTATCAAAATTATTATTATTATTATTATTACTGATCTTATTTAATTTCATTGTCCTAGATCTAGCCCCTTGGTCAAGTTATTTTTTTTTTTAAACCTGGCTCTATCACCCAATCTGTTAGTGATCCCTCACAATTTGAGTCATCTTTTAATAGGATAAGTAAGCCTTCTAGAACTTACACCAATTTTATGAGAACAAAACACAAAGGTTACAACAAAAAAGGTTTAAATAAAGCCTAGTGTTGGCTCATGCTGGCAGTAAATATTAAGAACAAAAAAGACCTTTTCTGAGGTACATTAAGGTAAGTGGAAGAAAGGATCACTCGAGGGCGAAAAAAAGTATTACTCCATCAATCAATCAACTAGTATGTATAAAGGGTCATTGCACTAGGCACTGTGCTAAGCCCTAGGGAAAGAGACAACAACGAAACATGCTTTATTCTCAAGAAGCTTACAGTCTATTGGGGACACAATAAAAAAGGCACAGTGAGCCATTTTCCCAGCCCAGGTTGACATATGGAGACTGACAGAGTGGTCTCTGGACAGTGGAGATGAGATGGGCTCTGGAGCACAACAAGGAACATTCCAGGGCAAGAAAAGATCCCAGCCCCGGCCCAGGGAACCACAGGAGTGCAAGAACAGAAGCCAACTGGCAGAGGGTGCCCCCGATCCCATTCTGGGTCACAGATCCATGGCAGATGGAGGAGGGTATCTGTGCTCAGGACGGCATTCTGGAATAGGGAGCTGTCAATCACAAGTCCTAGGAAGTGGACCAAGAAGCAAGCTGCATCCATGCACCTTGGACCCTAGGAGTACAGAGGGTTTCATTCCAGTCTGAAGCCTCCTGAGAAATAACCACAGCAGGAATCCCAGACGAGAGGCGAGTCTGCTACTCCATCCCTCTGAAGCAGCAAAGCTTCCCACCTGGCTGACGGTGGTCGAATCCAGCAGCAGTCTGCGGCTGCTTAGATGTAAATCCAGGTCTGTAATTTGTAGAGCTCAGAGTGGGGGTGGGGGAAATCAGACTGTGCGCTGGATCAGAGCACTCCGGGAGCACTAACAGCCTACAGGTCCCCAGCCTGTGCTGTCCCTCAGAGCCTGCAATAATGTAATGCTTGATATCCCAAGAAAGTAGCAATAGGACCAGTCCATACCTTCCCTTCAGAAGCATACAGAGCCTGGTCCTAAATCTGGTATCAAGTCAGGATGCAGACTGGACGAATGAGAAAACAAACAAGAATCCTGCCAGAAAAAGTTACTACGGTTACAAGGATGATCAAGATAGAAACCAAGAAGAAGACTGAATCTAAAACATCTACAAGCAAAACACCAACAAAAAGCACAAGTTGGGCACAAATTCAACTAGAATTTCTGGAAAAGATAAAGAGTTTAAGTTTTTTTTTTTGTGAATGAAATGAAAGCACCAAAGGAAAAAAAAACTGAAAAGAAATGATACTTATAGAAGATAGAATTAGAAAAGGAATTAACAAATTGGTTCAAAAAGTGCAAAACCTTGTCAAAGACACAAACTGCCTGAAAATTAGAATGGCCCAAAGAGAAGTCAACAACTCCATGATGCAACAAGAAATAATAACAATAATAATAGCTAATATGGATATTGTTCTACTGTGTGCCAGGCACTGCGCCAAGTGCTTTACAATTATGATCTCACTGAATCCTCACAACAGCCCCAGGAGGTAATGCTATTATGATTATTACTATTAACATTATTATTATTATCCCCATTTTATAGCAGAAGAAGCTGAAGTACAGAGGTTAAATGACTCTCCCAGGGTCATACAGCTGGAAAATGTCTAAGGCTGGATTTGAACTCAGGTATTCCTGACTCTAGGCCCAATACTGTGTGTGTGTGTGTGTGTGTGTGTGCACACGCATGCGTGCACACTACACAAATAATACACGAACATGTACAGACACACAAATGTATACACATACTACATATATACACATACATGTGTGTACTATACACTGCAGGTTTGTACATACACTTATATAATACATACATATGTATATACATACACATGTTAGTGTATTATTTTGTCTTATACATGTCAAAACACACACACATATATGTGTGTACTAATTTTGTCTTTTTAACACGGCCAAGGCAGAAATTTGTTTTGCTTGACTATACATGGTTATGGTATGTGGTTTATTTTTCTTTTGCTCTCAATCAAAGGATAGGAAGGAAATGCTGGATAAAAAAAAGCTGGACAGCAAAAACTAACGTGTCTTTTTTTAAAAACAGGCAGTTCAAGGAAATATTGCAAACTTCACATATCTGGATTTCAGTGAGGTATTAGACAAAATCTCTAATGCCATCCTTCTAAAAATTTTTTACATTTCATTCTGACCTTAAACACCAAAAACAGCATATCTATAAACAGAACACAAAAAGGGAATGGTAAACGAAACTATGAATCTTCATTTCATACCGCTTGCTTTTTACAAAAAATATATAATAAAATCTTCACTTTACTTTCATAACTGCCCTGCTTGCTGGGGCTTCTTTCTGTTCTCTTCTGGGCATATTAAAAATTATTTCAATGGTCCCTTTTCTTGGCATCACTATTGACTATTAATACCCCCTCTCTCACAATTAAAAACCAAGTGAAAGAAAGGAAAAAAATTAATAAATAAGCATTGTCAAGTAAAACAAATGCATACAGTGGCCATATAAAAATGTTCTCTTTCTGCCCCTCGTGTCCATCCCCTCTTGGTCAGAATGTGGGTTCCATGCTTCATCATCGATCCTAAGAGACGTGGTGGGTGGCAT